CAGGCCTGCTGGAACTCCTTGTGGAGTATTTCCGGCGCTGCCTGATCGAGATCTTTGGAATCCTGAAGGAATATGAGGTGGGAGACCCAGGGCAAAGAACACTATTAGATCCCCAGAGGTTCTGCAGATCTTCAGCTTCTTCTCATGAGGAAGGGGAGGAGGATGAGGAACTACGGAGCCTGAACTATGAGGAGGAAGAAGATGATGAAGGAGAGGAGGCGGCTGCATTTTCAAGCAAGGACAAAGCACCTCTAGAGTGCAGCGAGGAGAAATTAGTTAGTAAATTTGACAAGCTTCCGATCAAGATTGTGCAGAAGAATGACCTGTTTGTGGTAGATTATTCAGACAAGCTGGGACGAGTGCAGGAGTTTGATAGCGGCCTGCTGCACTGGCGGATTGGTGGCGGTGACACTACTGAGCACATTCAGACCCACTTTGAGAGCAAGATGGAGCTACCTATGATTCACAAACGAGCATCCTGCAATTCTGTCTTGAGGAAACGCGCAGCAGCTGAGAGCAATCCAAGCACTAGGGAAGGAGAGGCTCTTCCATCTGACAGCTCCTTGGAGAAGAGAATAACTGCCACCATGGACGACATGCTTTCAGCACGTCCAAGCTCATTATCAGGGGAGGAGGAAGAGGCCAAAGCTTCAGAAACAGAGAAGGAGAGTAAGTTTCCATTTGGCATTAGTCCAGCACAGAGTCACAGAAATATAAAAATTCTGGAGGACGAACCTCACAGTAAAGATGAGACGCCCCTCTGCACCATCCAAGACTGGCAGGACTCTTTGGCGAAGCGCTGCATCTGTGTCTCCAACATCATCAGGAGTTTATCATTTGTGCCGGGCAATGACTTTGAAATGTCCAAACATCCCGGGCTGCTGCTGATTCTAGGGAAACTGATTCTTTTACACCACAAGCACCCGGAGCGCAAGCAGGCACCCCTGACCTATGAGAAGGAGGAGGAGCAGGACCAAGGGGTGAGCTGCAACAAGGTGGAGTGGTGGTGGGACTGCCTGGAGGTGCTGCGTGAAAATACACTGGTCACGCTGGCCAACATTTCTGGCCAGCTGGACCTGTCCCCTTACCCAGAAAGCATCTGTTTGCCTATCCTGGATGGACTCCTACACTGGGCAGTATGTCCCTCAGCAGAGGCCCAGGACCCCTTTCCAACGCTGGGGCCGAATGCGGTCCTCTCCCCTCAGAGACTGGTTTTGGAAACACTCAGCAAACTCAGCATCCAGGACAACAACGTGGATTTGATTCTTGCAACTCCCCCTTTCAGTCGCTTGGAGAAGCTGTACAGCACCCTGGTGCGTTTCCTTAGTGACAGAAAGAACCCGGTGTGTCGAGAGATGGCTGTGGTACTACTGGCCAACTTGGCACAGGGGGACAGCCTGGCAGCGAGAGCGATTGCTGTGCAGAAGGGGAGCATTGGCAACTTGCTGGGCTTCTTGGAGGACAGCCTGGCCGCCACGCAGTTCCAGCAGAGCCAGGCCGGCCTGATGCACATGCAGAACGCGCCCTTTGAGTCGACGAGCGTGGACATGATGCGCCGAGCTGCTCGGGCGCTGCTCGCCCTGGCCAAGGTGGACGAGAACCACTCGGAGTTCACGTTGTACGAGTCGCGGCTGTTGGACATCTCCGTGTCGCCTTTGATGAACTCTTTGGTTTCACAAGTTATTTGTGATGTACTATTTTTAATTGGCCAGTCATGACAGCTGTGGGATCCGAGACCCTGTGTGCGTGTGCGTGAGTGGAGAACTTAGAAACTGACTGTTGCCCTTTATTTATGCAAAACCACCTCAGAATCCACTGTCTGCCCTGCGCTGTCCTGCTTCTCCCTTGGGGAAAGATGTCCCCCTTCCCTTTCCCCTTCCCCTGCCCTTCAAATTTGTCCCGAATCCCTTATTAAAGGAGACAAAGTTCTGTCTACATAGAAGACTTTTTTTTTTTTTTATTTTAACCAAAGTTACTGTCGTTTACAGTGAGTTTGGGGAAAACGACTTGCCGTGTTATCACATTGACAGGCTCCACTTTCATAACTTGTTTTTAATGGTAAACTCTGAAGGACAAAAGTGACTGCTGAACTCTGTGGTTTATCGTTGTACATTCACAATCTTGCAGGAACCAAGAAGTTACCAGTTGTGAACAGACCTTGTCCAAGGGAGGCCTGTGCAGTAGCGTGTAGAACTTCATGTACTGTACACCTTAAACTGTAAACATACTGTAATACTGTCTCACATGGAAAAAAAAAAAAAAAAAACGCTGGATCAGCAGCAAGCTGTAGTTTTTAAAAATGTTTTTAGTTAATGTTGAGGAGAAAAAAGGCTTTTCCCCCAAAGTATCATGTGTGAACCTACAACACCCTTACCTCTTTCTCTCTTCCTTCTTGATTGTATGAATAACCCTGAGATCACCTCTTAGAACTGGTTTTAACCTTTAGCTGCAGCCTGAATGCTGCCACGTGTGTATATATCTATGACGTTGTACATTGCACATACCCTAAGATTCCTTGCAGTTTTGTTCCCCTTTCCTCACCCCTTTCTAGTATGACGAGTTAACGAGTTGATGACCTGCAAAAGCGAGACACAATTATTTAATCTCTTGCCAGACATCCCTCCCTGGAGGATGCTGTACAGGTCTCTGTGTATAAAGTCATTGCTGTCTCAGCAGCCAATCAACTTATAGTTTATTTTTCCTGTTTTTGTTTTCTTTCTAATCGAGGTGTGAAAAAGTTCTAGGTTCAGTTGAAGTTCCTGATGAAGAAACACAATTGAGATTTTTCAGTGATGACTTCTGCATATTTGTATTTCAGACGATGTAGCTAAAAACTTGATGTAAATTCCTCCCTTTTTTTCCTTTTTTGGCTTAATGAATATCATTTATTCAGTATGAAATCTTTATACTATATGTTCCACGTGTTAAGAATAAATGTACATTAAATCTTGGTAAGATGTTTGTAAGGTTTTTCTTTATTAGCAGAGCACGGGGCTGACCTTGGTGCTGTCAGACCCCGTAGGCATGGTGTTGCAGGTCAGCTTTGTTACCATGCAGCAAGGAGGCCTCAAAGCTCCAGGCCAGCATCTTGTTTAGCAGCACAACCAGGTAACAGAGCAGCACCTTGCCCTGAGCTGCCAATGCTGTATGGTCTGGCTTTCCTTCTATGATGGGCTTGTGTCATTTATGCTCCAGGAGGGCGGATTTGCCGTGTGAAGTGAAGCTCTGGCATGGAAGGACAGACGTGTGGCTCTCAGGGTGGAAGAGGGCATTGGAAGGGAGGCATTTCCCTGTCAGCTCTCTAAAATGGACAATTTTCACTCCTCTTGCGTTTTTCACTCGTTCTTGGAATTGTGATGTGGACTCAGTCATCTTCCAAGGGGTTTTCCAGAGAACAAAAGTCTGATGCCCTTCAGCACACGGCCAGAGTTCAGGCTCTTCATTTGACAGTCTGCACGTTTTCATGGTTAGTAAGTGGATATTTTATTCCTGAAGCTTTATCCTCAAATGATAATAGCAGCAGGCTAACTAGATCTGCAGTGAGCTCACTTAAGCAAAAGTGTCATAGGGAAAGGAGAGGCTTTTCTGTCTTTTGTTCAAAAGGCCACCTCTCATTTCCCCCCAACCCTCTCCTATGAAGCTTGCAGTTCCCTCAGCTCTTAACTGTAATCATGAAATTAAGATTTCTGGAAGGAATTGTGCCTGAATCAAATAGACTTTCTTCTGAAATGTTTACCAGCTGGAATTGTGGGAACTCCTGTCTGGCTTGTCTGGGAAAGTTCTTAAAATGGAATTCTTAAGAGGCTTCCTTGGCTTTAAATGTACTGAATGGAAAAAGAAGTGGTGTGATGAGAGTTGTGTGGGCCTTTGCTGATTTCAAACTGTTGGTTTGAAACCCACTTCTCTGATAATTGAGTTATATGTTCCAGGAGCTTTGTTTAATCTCCTTGAATTAAAAGCTACAAAAGATTTCAGCATTTCAACAGGGAGGACCTCATCAGCGGGGCTGGCGAAGGTTTAATGTTAGCAGCTTCTGCACAACCTCTGTTACGTTTCAGTGAATTTGGGCATAAGTGAAAGCGCCACTTGGGAGTGAAGGAGGTCGCATGTGGTACAACTGCCCGTGGTGGTGTTTATACAAACAGATGCTTTGAGGGAGTGATTCTGCTCCCTCAGTGCTTGAAGGCGTGGCGTGGAGTTTCCCCGGTGCTTCTTCCGTGGTCGAAGAAAAACAGCATCAGTGAGAAGTCAGCGAGGTGAGAACGTGCAGCGTTTACAGTTGGGACCGATCTGAGAGCCGCAGCTGCTCCAACGCTCCATGTGGCTGCGCGGGACGCCGCTCCTCCGCGCTCTGCCGCGATTCGCGCCCGCGGCTTTCCCGCGCGGGGCCCTCCGTGCTGCGGCAGCGCCCCGCGGTGACGGAAGGCACGGCCCGCCGCCTCGGCCATCGCGCGGACGGGGCGCTGGGGGAACCCCGCACGCCTCTTTTAAGCCGTTAATGCCGTGACGTGCGCCGTGCCCGGGCTGCTGCGCCGCGCCGCCGCGTGACCGGCTCCGCACCGCTGCGCCCTCCGCGCCAGCCCGGGGTCCCGGCGGGAGGAGGCGGCGCGGAGCAGCTCACGGCCCCGCCCATCGGCCCCGTCCTCCACCTCGGGCGGAGAGAGAAATCGCCCTCTGCCACGGCAGCGGCGCACCGAGCGGATCCCGCCGAGCCCGGCGGTTATTTGCGCACCGGCGGCGCTGGGCGGGAGCAGCGCCCGGGCTGACGGCGCAGCGAGGAACCCGCCCGCGGCCACCCCGCCGCGGAGCGCCGCCGCCCCGCCTCCCCCCCCACGTGAGGCAGCGCGCCGGAAACGCGCGCGGGACCGGAAGTGACTTCCCCGGAAGTGGCCGCGCGCGGCGGCGCATGGATTCGCATCAGTTGGTGCCGGATTGGTGCCGGAGCGGTGCGCCGAGCGCTCAGGTGGGGGAGGGGAGAGGAGGGGCTGGAGGGGAGGGCGGGGACCGCGCCCGGGACCGCCCCTCCCCCCGGCACGGCGCCGCTCCCGCTCGTAGCCCCCGGAGGGACCGCGGCCCCCGCCCGCCCTCGGGCCGCGTCCCGCCGCTCAGTTCCCGAGAGGCGAAACGGAGCGAACGGCCCCAGTGCGGCGCCCGCCCGCCGCCACGAGGGCCGAGGGCCTTCTGAGCGCCCGGAGCGGCTCCCGAATCTCGTGAAAGCGGTGCCGCGCGGAGCTCCGCCCGCTGCTCCGTGCCCCCGGCTGAGGCTGGGAGGCGGTTCCGTCGGCCGGCCGCGCTGCGCGGCGCAGAAGTGCCTCAGCCGGAGCGCTGCCGCCCCCGCGCGGGCATCGCGCCGTGCTGCTGCGCGTCCTTCCATTGGCGCAACTTCCGGAGGTCGTGGCGGAGTGCAGAACGCCGTGTAGAAACAGGAAAGAGGACAGGAATGGTTCTTTACTTCACACCTGGCGTTATTTTCTGCTGCTGCCTTTTCTGGTCGTGCAGGTGCTCTTCGGAGCAGCGCCGTGCGAGCTGCGGTTCTGTGACGAGGTGTGCTGCAGCGTGACGGGGGTGGTGCTGCAAAGCCCTGCTTTCTTGGCACGTTTGTGTTAAGCTTCTTTGTCCTTTTCTTAAAGGAAAAAGAAAAAGAAGCATTTGGACGATTGTTGGCTGTGATCTTTAATAGGGTTTGCAGGTGTGAATGTGCTTTCGTAGAATTTGCAGCTGGGCTGAAGTATCCCCTCTTAAAATAACATTGCAGCTTTGTGATTCGGGACGGTGTGCCTCCCACTCACGGCTCTGTAGCTGTGAGTGCTGTGGAGCAAGAGGAGTACTTGAGCAGAACCAAAACTTTAATACGTAGCAAAAGAGGAAGAATCAGAATTGTGTGGTTCAGGCCTGGGACTGTAAGTGAATGCATTTGGGTGCTGCTTTTTGCTTTGCTTTTGCCTTGGTTTCTGCTCTCGTGTGCAGCTTTTAACCTGTCTGATTTTTTCTGATTTTTCTCTGTTGGTAAACTGGCAATAGGAAAATCTCTGAGAATGGTTAGGTCAGTAGGAGAGGTGAGAATTTCAGGGATCTTCGTGCATTGTCGCAGGCTCGATTAGAAAGGTGGAAAGTGGTGCAGGATGTGGTGCTGGAGACCAGAGAGAGCTGTGGGTCTTCGGTTTGTCAGACTGAAAAGCCGTTAGTGGCTGGAGAACTAACGGAAGGAATGTGTTATCTTAAAGAGCTGCAGAACAGATACTGCCTGCCTGTGTGGCTCCAGGCCAGCAGTTTTCATAGCTGGTAGCAGAATGTCAATCCAGAATACACAGAAAAGAAAGCAGTGTGACTCTGCAAAGTGCTTTAGATCTCACAGGTAAGGATTTGAGGGAAGAGATGGAAGAGAGCCACCATAGCACGTGTGGTTTGCTCGGCAGGCAGATGCCCTCCCTCTGGAGAGCAGGAGCCCTAACAAAGCAGGGAAGGGTGCACGTGGAGAGAGCGGCGTTACACAAGTGTCATCTCCCAGAGGTGCTGTATGTGATGAGGGAAGTCAGTGTGTCTGAGCAGCATTAGCTTTGCCTGGAGGAACCTGCAGGGCTGCGCTGTGCAGGTGGGGCAGCCCTCAGTACTGCATTTTTTTGCTTCCTAGGAGCAAACGCTGGGCAGAGAGCAGATGAGAGCAGAAGGCACCTGGCAGTGCTTGGCCAAGCACAGCCCATTGGCAGAGACTTACATAGGTGTTATGCTCAGATTCCACGTTTTAGTTGTGTTCTAGTCCAAAAAAGGTTTAAGTGTCATTGAATGCATTGGAACTTGAATGTGCATGTAGTTGCTTGGCTGAGTCGTGGCTGGAGCCAGTGGTGTTTCTGCTTAGACAGCCAGTAAAGAGGTCAGTGTGGCTCTGCTGCAGGTATTTACACTGGCTTAGTCAGAAATGGACTGAGAATGTGTTGCAACCTCTCCTTCTCTGTATCCTAACTGAGGTTGAGAAGTTAGGGATGTTTTTTAATAGGAACAGTCTCAAAGATTTTTTCTGTAGCATCTCCACGTGCCCTGGTTCCTTGATCTCTTTCATATGTGACTTTCTTGTTCATAGAGATTTGCAGCCCTCTGAACATCCTGGTAACAACTAAAGATGCATAATGTACAAACATGTTGAATCCAGAAATATCTCTTGGTGTCTCTGCTCTCTGTTGATCAATTCAGGTTTCCAAAACCGGAGGGTGAATTTCCCCAGCATCAGTGACCGAGGCAGCTTTCAAGCTTGGGATGGAGCTGGCGAGCAGGCAGGATCCTTATTTGCGAGTGGTTGTGCACACTGCAGTGTGCTGCAGAGCCCTGACACTCCTGCTACAGGCAAGTCTTCTGTTCCTGAACCACAGGTGCTGCAGCATCTGTTGTTCTGTGCTCCAAGACTTCTCTCTTTGGTACTGCATAGTGCACCACAGGCTGGTTCTGTGTGGTTGGGAAATCCCCTTCTCCTTTAGAGAACCAGGAGACCAGCTGCATCCGGGGAGGCAGGATGCCGAAGTAAAATTACATACATTTCTTCATAACTTATCATGTTTAATGCTGCTGTTGCAAGAGGTGGGCTTGGCAGCTTGCAATGCTGAAACGTCCGTTTATCCGCAGAGCAGGAACAGTAATCTCCTGCTGCACATTCCTCCCAAGTCACACTTGCAGAGACATCCTTCTCTGAGTGCAGAAGGATGCTATTGGTCCACTTTGTTCTGCCTGTGTATGCCATGGCAGCAGTGCCCAGCTGTAGTTCCTGAAGCCAGAGCAGCCTGGGGCACATCTCCAGCAGTCCGGTGACTGCTGGGTGGGGCTGAGTGGAACTGTCAGTGGAGACAAAAGGCTGCGTATTGCAAATTGGTCCACTTGTGTGCTTTTTTGTAAAACGCTAGCTTGTGAATCTTGAAGTCCCAATTTGTTCAGTATTGCCTCTTCTCTTGTCTCTGTCAGTGCTGAATTCCTGGCCAGAGACTCATCCCAATCTCCCTGTAGTAAGCTGCAAAAAGTACCATTTGGAGGGTTTGTTTTTAAGAAAAACACAGTTTTGTTTGTCTTCTGCATCAGTTTTCTCTGGAAATATCTTTTCTCTAGTTTTGTCTCCTCTCCCTTCTATATCAGCTGGGATGGGAACACCAAATTCAGTAGCAAAGGCAGCTTCCCAGCACTGCAGAGCCACCTGGGGTGAGCATACGCAGTTAGATGTGCCTGAGCAAGGAGCTGAGCTGCCTTTCCCTGTCCAATTCCGAGGGGATTCATGTTGCATATTGTCAAAATTGTATTCCGTTCTGCTATAAATGCCCCACAACAATGTGTGTCTGCTTTCACAGTTTTATAGCCATCCTTGCTGGAAATTCCATTAGCCTGTCTTCTGTGCTGCTCGTCCCCTTCTCTGAATCCCAGAAATGCTCTTCCAGCCCAGTGCTCCCAATAGGTTGCAAGAGGATGTCTGCTATCCTTCAGTTCTCTCTTCTCCTCCTTCCAGGCTGTGTTTGACCTGCTGATCCCAGATCATGCAGCAGATGCCTTCTCCCCGCCTCGTCTGCCCAAGCCTGGCACGTACGACCTGCTTCTGGAGTGGCTGCTGGGGGGTCTGGCACACTGGGACGCAGAGCATTTCCTCTTCATCGCAGAGCGGGGTTACCTGTATGAGCACAACTGCGCCTTCTTCCCACTTTACCCTCTGAGCTTGCGAGCTGTGGCCGATGGCACTCTGTGGCCCCTGCGGCAGCTGCTGTGTTTGCGGAGCCGCCTGCTGCTGTCAGCCATCCTCCTTAATTCTCTCTTTTCTGTGCTGGCAGCCGCTGCCCTGTACAAGCTGGGCTGTGCTGTGCTGCGGTGCCGCAGAACAGCCTTCCTCTCTGCCCTTCTCTTTTGTATCAGCCCTGCCAACGTGTTCATGGCGGCTGCTTACTCGGAGAGCATGTTTGCCTTCCTGGCCTTCAGTGCCATGTGGCAACTGGAGAAGGGGCAGAGCTGGCTCAGCTTGCTGCTCTTTTCCCTTGCCACTGGTGTGCGTGCCAATGGGCTTGTGAATGCTGGTTTCTTTCTCTACTCCCGCAGTAAATCCTTTGCCCTCCAGCTCCAGGTGGGTTCAGGCTCTGTAAGGAAGCTCTCTCTGTTATGGAGGCAGCTCCTCAGTGTGGCATCTTCCATGCTTCTGACATGTGCTGGGATTTGTCTGCCTTTTGCTTTATTTCAGTATTATGCCTACATGAGGTTCTGCAGCCCTGGCCTGGAACTGGCTGTTCCTGAGCCACTGCGGCAGCTGGCTTTGGACAAAGGCTATCGTCTGGTGTCCCCCCATGGGGTAAAACCCCCTTGGTGCTCCCAGCGGTTCCCTGTGGTCTATTCTTATATTCAAGATGTTTATTGGAATGTGGGCTTTCTGAGGTATTTTGAGCTCAGACAAGTACCAAATTTTTTGCTTGCATTACCTGTCTCGCTTTTGGGCTCGTGGGCTGCCTGGACCTTCATTGTTGCAAACCCACGGCACTGCCTGACCCTGGGACTAGAGAGAAGAAAGAAGAAACGAGAGGGTAAACCCAGAGCCGGGTTTTGCTGCCCTGCTGTCTTCGTGTACGTGGTCCATGCTACGGCCCTGCTGGTGCTGGGGTTCTTCTGCATGCATGTTCAGGTAAGACGTTCATGGCAGCACCCAGAAGTGATTTCTTACAGGGTGGTGTCTGAGGTGGTTTGGTGATGGTCACAGTCTGAGGCTGTGACAGCTGCAGGGCCGGCACAGGGCTGTGCAAGCCCAAGGTTTTGCCTCTCCTCTTGTGATGCTGCTTCCACAGTAGCTTTCCAAAGCCTCATCTCTGCTGGAGAGTTCCCAGAGAAGGCTGCAAAGCGCTCGCTGTGCTTTGAGGGCTGGGACTGAATCGCATCCGTGGCGTTCTCACGTCGGCTCACGGAGCGCTGCCCGCCAGAGGGCGCAGAGAACGTCACGTCCTGTGACGCTGGGCTGGGATGGCAGCGTGGGGATCCAAAGCCTGCCCCGGTCCCCTGAAAGTGCTTCTGGATGCTATTTAGTGGCACTGACTGCTGGGGGTTGTGGGGAAAGAATAATTGAAAAGTGAGATTCAGGTCCTCCGCAGCAGCTGCTGGCAGAGTTCCCGCATGGGTCTGTGACGAGGACTGCAGAGGCGCGTTTGCCCAAAGCCCGTGGAGCCCCTGATAAAACAGCGGCGCTGAGCTGGGAGGCGTTTCGTTCCACGTGTAATAAATTCCAGCTCCGCGAGGTGGGGCTGTGTGCCATTCCCTGTGCCAGCAGCGCGATGGCTGCCGCCGGTTGCTCGTCGCGTGGTATCCGTTCGGGGTTGCTCAGAGCCCGACCGGCGACGATTGTCTGCCTGTTGCTTCCAGGTGCTGACCCGGTTTCTCGGCTCCTCCAGCCCTGTGCTGTACTGGTTCTCCGCCCACCTGCTCCAAGGACACGAGGCCTGGCTCTGGGAGGAGGGGGCCGACGGGCAAAGCACGGTGCGCGTTCGCGAGAGGTGCGTGCTGGGTGCAGCGCCCGGCTCCTGCGGGAAGGGCCCTGCGGGGGGACACCCGCTGCTCAGGCTGCTGTTGAGCTACCGCTCCATGACCGTCGTCGGGCGGTGCCTCCTGGGGTTCTTCGCGTCCTACTGGCTGCTAGGGCTGGTGCTGCACTGCAACTGCTTGCCTTGGACATAGCGAGCGGCTGTGGCCGCGGGTTGGGACGGACGGCGGGGGGACGGATGGAGGAGTCCGAACGGAACGTTTTCTAAAGAACCGGACGTGTCCCGAGGCCGTCGTGCGCGACGAGGTGCTGCCGGACGGCGCCGTCCGTCGTCAGGTGCCCGAGCGCAGCCCGCGCTGCCGGCACTGCACGCAGCTCTGCGCGGGCGCGGCCCGCCCCGCTCTCCCGTCGTCTCGGCGCGGCCGGCAGGGGGCGCTGCGGGCTCCGGGCGGCGCCGCGAAGGACCGCGAGTAGCGGCGGGTCTCAGCGCCCCGGCGGCGATTCGCGGTGTTCCGGGACCGCGTCCGCTTCTCGTGCGGCGGCGTCTCGGCCTTCCCGCTCGCTCCATCCCGGCTCCTCGTCGGCCGTCCCAGCCCTCGCAGACGCCGTGGATGCCCGCACCTCCCGCCCGCCCCACGGAAGCGGTCGCCGACGAGATCGTGGCGAAGCGCCGGTGCTGCTACGGCTGCGGTGCCCCGTCCCGCGCGGAGCTCTCACTGCGGCGGCCGCGTCGGTGAGTCGCGAACGTGGCGCTGTGCGTCCCGTGGACGTGGGGCTGTTGGTGCTGCATTTACGTTCACAAAGGGTCGCGCAACGCGACGGTGATGCGGCAGCTTGATGCAGAGCCTGGGAGCCATCGGGCTGCTCAGCTGAGCTTCTAAGAAAACGGTGTGGGACCAAAGCCGGCCATTTCAATGTGGAATTAGAACTCTGCGTTCCTTCTTGTTGCTGGTCTCATCCTGCTTGCAGGGGGAAAGACGAGGCAGTGCCCCAAGCTGGAAAAGCTTTTGTAAAGCACAGAAGTGCATTGTGCAGCTCACGCTACAGCAGTGCTCATTTCTCTGGGCATTCCTCGTTTCTTATCATAGAGTCATAAAATGGTTTGGGTTGGAAGGAACTTTAAGATCCTCTAGTTCCACCCCTTTCTGCAGGCAGGGACACCTCCTACAGGCCAGATTGCTCACAGCCCCATCCGGCCTGGCCTGGCCGTGAATGCCTTCACAGAGGGAGCATCCTCAGCCTGTTCCAGTGGCTTGCCACCCTTACATTAAAGAATTATTCTCTAATATCTAATATAAATCTGTGTTCTTTAAAGAGAGTTTAAGGCTGTTTCCCCTCATCCTGTTGCTACGTGCTTGATAAAAAGTCCCTCCCCAGCTTTCCTGCAAGGTACTGAAAGGCTGCTATAAAGTCCCCCTGGAGCCTTCTCCAGGCTGCAGAGCCCCAACTCTCTGGGCCTGTCTCTGTAGGGGAGGTGTTCCAGCCCTCTGCTCTCCCTCATGGCCCTCCTCTGGATTCACTCCAACAGTTCCATGTCCTCCTTGTGTTGGGGGCCTCAGAACTGGATGCAGTACTCTGCATGGGGTCTCACAGTAGCAGAGTACAGGGGCAGAACCACCTTCTTTTCTCTCATCGACTGACACCTCCAAATTCTTCTCCTCAGGGCTGTTTCTTATGCCAGAAGAAAGCCATCTTTGCCTTGTACACCGAAAGCAAATGCTTCAGCAGCTTGGGGAGTAAGAGCTGAGAGGTGCCTGGCAGTGGAGGAAAGCTGCGTGTGGTCAAGGACTGTGGAGCTTGTGTTGCTCCATTTTGAATCTATTCAATTAGTTCTTAGTTATCTTCAGCAGTTTGGGAAAGGAGATGGGTGTAGTTGGTACACACCTATGAAGCGAGATTGAATGACGGGTTAAGTGACAGCTTAAAGATCCATCTTTTTGGTTTGGACCCCATCCCTGCTCTATGACACAGGCATCACTTGAAGTTCCGAGTGGTGTAGGCATGTGGAGAGTTGTTAGTGCGGAGGTGATCCTTCCTCCTGCTCACCTTTGGCTCTTGTCCAGCCTATGGGCACTCGGAGATTGACCCCTAGTAAAGAAGGACCCTCTGTCCTCTGCTCAATACCCATTTGTGAGAGGATGGGGTGAGCTGAAAGATGTTCGTCCCTTGAGCCGTTCCTGTCTGGATCTACTGGCCAGTGGGTATTCTGTTGGTGTAGGCACTGATGTTTTTGGTCAGGGTTTTGGAGCACAGCAGGTGAAGCAGAGCAGATGGTAGTTGAGGTTCTGCAGGAGTGTGGGCCCTTGGCAACGTGCCTTTGGTGAGCTGTGTTGGCTCAGAGACTGCACAGCTCCACTCTGATGTGGTTTGTCAGCAAGAACAAACTTGGGAGATCATAGATTAGCACTTTATGTTTGGAGAGAGTTAGAACTAGATGGTTTTTTTTTCAGCTTAAGCTTTGTTCCCCAACTCCAACCTCTCTGGTTCCCGCCGGGGAAGCAGTGTGAAGGAGGTGAGCCCTAAGCAGAAAGGCAGCGGTGCCCGGAGCTCTCCGTCAGATCTGTGCCAATCTCAGCAGCTTTGGAGGTGTCTCTGTGCACCTGGAGGATGTGATGCAGAGCTCCAAGCCTGGTGTCAATGGGACACAATGTGCAGTGGTGATTCCCCTTGTCATGGAACAGAAACCTTGCTGTTTCCTGCAGAGATTAATGGGCGCCCTTGAGCTGGTTGTGCCAGGACTTGCAGCCCTATCCCTGAGATGGATGAACTCTCCTGCCCCCTCCTTTGGGTACCAGGTTGTGTCATGTTTGGCACAATTAACAGAGATATCAGAGTTGGAGGGTGTCCCTTAGAAAGGTTTAGAAAAGCAACTCCATGCCTTGATGTTTAGCATCATGAAAAAAATGACTCGGTGGGTGGAAAACAGCATTATACTCTCTGCTTCTCTCCTCCCATGTGCAGGAATCACACTTCTCAGAAGCATACCACTGCAGGACAACACGTTACTGACAATAAGATGAGTCTCTTTCTTTGTTGCTGATCAGTTTCTCTGTGTGTTGCAGGACTTGTCAATGCAGTGCTGCCCCAAGCACCTGGTGTGCAGCAGGAAGCATCCTGCATCCTTCCATCAACAAGTCAGGCATTATGAGACCCAGGTGTGTGACTTGGATCTCATGATGCAGATCTGTTTGTAATTCTAGATGTGTAACTTAAGAAGTACTGGTCCTGATAACATGAATTCTGTGGTGAGATGGCATCTGCAGGCTGTGCCAGCGTTATAACTGCCAGTGTTCCAGCACCTGACACCATGTTCAACTGTTACCAGTCCTTTGGCCTCTGAATGTTCGAGGCAAGCAAGCAGCTTGGATTGTAAAATGTTTCCTCTGGCTTAGGTGACGTTAAGCTTCCCAGCAAGGGGTGGTCATGACACTACTGGGTGACGTTTCCCCTTAGAGAGCAAGGGAAAATGAGTGTAACATTTCAGCTTTGGTGGATGAAAGTTTGTTCCTTGGATGAAAGAGGAAATCAAATTGCCCCAGTACAGCTCTCCCCAGCCTGACTCAGCCTTATCTCCCTGTCAGTCTTCTGGAGGATAGATAGATGCACGCTGTTTTGGAAAGGGTTGAGTGAGTTTATTTACATCTTATCCTGGACCGTTTAGCTCAGTGTGGTCAGCTG